CTTATTTTGTTAGACTTATCTATTGTGTATATGGAATTGTGTATGTGATATGAAATTGAGCTATGAAATGCGATGTTGTATGGATGTGATTATGATTGTGATTGTGGTGCCTCACATCAATGACCAGGGATGGCACGGCCCCTGGGTAAGTGATGCTACAGGGAGGGCGTGACCCTGACATGGTGTGGGATGAGTAAGACGATTAACACGTATCACTTATGTCAAATATGGCAGCCCTGACATAGGGTTAATTGCAAGAGATTTTGTGGATTGTGATGTGATTGTGGTTCCTCACTTCAATGACTAGGGATGGCACGACCCCTGGGTAAGTGATGCTACATGGAGGGCGTGACCCTGACATAGTATGGGATGAGTGAGGCAATTAACCCGTATCACTTATGTCAGTTGTGGCGTGGCCTTGGCATAGTGTTAATTGTAAGATTTATGTGGATTGTGATGAATTGATTGTGATGTGATTGTGATGTGACTGTGATGTGATTGTGGTTCCTCGCACTAATGACCAGGGATGATACGAACCTTGGGTAAGTGATGCTACAAGGACGAGCGTACCCCTGGCATGGTGTGGGATGTGTGAGGTAATTAATACTTATGTCGGGGGTGGCACGACCTTGGGCAAGAGATGCTATAGACGTGACCTTGGCATAGAGTTGATTGCAAGATTTGTGATGATTGTGGTGATTGCGAATTGTGACGTGATGATGATGCACGATTGATAAAATTATGATACATTAAAATGTTTATGAATATTTCGTTGAGTATCGAGTTATAATGAGATGATATGTTGTGTGTTTGTATGTACTTTACATATAGATGTTTTCTTTTCTCACCGTACAATTTTGTGGATGTTTTAGGTGAGGAAGATCCGGCTGCGAGTGACATCTAGAATGCCAACAGTTAAATTAGGGGTATGCTCTGATATTGTGACATCGAGGCAGAAGACTTTTAGAACCAAATTTTTATATGGATTTGGAATTGTAAATATCATTTTGAAAACAATTTGTAAACTCTTGTGTTTTATTTTCTAAATCTTTATTATTGTAGTAGATGTGTGAAGCAATTAATAATTATGTCGGGGGTGGCATGACCTCGAGCAAGAGATGTTATGGGCGTGACCTTGGCATGGTATGGGATGGGTGATTCCTCATGCTTATGTCGGGGGTGGCACGACCTTGGGCAAGAGATGCTATAGACGTGACCTTGGCATAGAGTTGATTGCAAGATTTGTGATGATTGTGGTGATTGCGAATTGTGACGTGATGATGATGCACGATTGATAAAATTATGATACATTAAAATGTTTATGAATATTTCGTTGAGTATCGAGTTATAATGAGATGATATGTTGTGTGTTTGTATGTACTTTACATATAGATGTTTTCTTTTCTCACCGTACAATTTTGTGGATGTTTTAGGTGAGGAAGATCCGGCTGCGAGTGACATCTAGAATGCCAACAGTTAAATTAGGGGTATGCTCTGATATTGTGACATCGAGGCAGAAGACTTTTAGAACCAAATTTTTATATGGATTTGGAATTGTAAATATCATTTTGAAAACAATTTGTAAACTCTTGTGTTTTATTTTCTAAATCTTTATTATTGTAGTTATTGAAGAACGATTTTTGAAGTTTCTCATGTGAACCCTTTAACTTTTTTTAAAACATTTATTTGTAAAGTTACAGTATATGTGTTGGGGTAGTAAGGGTGTCACAATATGACAAAGAACTAATATTTATATTATTACTGTTTCAAGAATTTACCGCTAAAAAGTTATAAGAAAACTATAAAAAAAAATTAAAATAACATTTATATTTTTCATTGATATCTCATACTAAAAGGAATATAAATTTATAATTTAATACTATTAAGAATGACCTTATAAAGGGTCATCATCCTATTTTATGAAATATAAAATTATATTAAAAATAAATATAAATATAATATAATATTCTAATATGAAATTATGAAATTTTTATGTTATTTGTTTTTATTTTTTATTGGACTCTTTAGGTCCAATCTATCACAATTCGATTGAAGACAAAATTTATAAAAAAAACAAAAAAAAAACTAAAAGCTACTTATAAACATGAATTATAACTAATAAAGTCACTTTGATTAAAAATTTGTAACATCAAATGTGATATGATAATAAAATGACCAATATGTCAACCATGATAATAAAATGATTAATATTTATGTGTTATTATTTTCATAAACATTATGAAAAAGGTGACAATGTTTAAAAAGAAAACAAAATAGTTCAAACGAAAAAAGAGAAAAATAATTTTAAAATAGAGAGATCAAATAGTTTAAAAAGTTTGTTATCATAAGAGACATAACTTGATCTCTAGTCTTTGTCTTAATATTTTTTTACACATATAAAAGATATTTATTAATAATCATAAATGTATGTTTTTTTAATAACAACTATATTGGTACAAAGCATATAGTATTGAAAATAATGATTAATCTTCATTGACAGTCTTGAGTATATATAAAATAAGATATTCTCCTTTCAATATAGTTATTTTATATCTTAAGTCAAAATTAAAATCTTGAACCACTTGATAAAGGAACACAAGTTATTAACACTTATGTCAACTAATCTTAATACTATAAATATATATTAACATCAAAAGTTTATAAAAAAATATATAAATAAAAAAATCTATTGATATGTATATTATAATCCTAAATTTAATCAATTTTTATATAAAACACGAATAATTATATTGTGGAAGAATATTTTATAAGGAAGAAAATTTGTAAGAATTTTTTAATTACATATCTGATTTAAATTTTATCTATCATAATTACTTACGAATTAAATTTTAATATTTGAAGATATTTTTTAATAAATTAAAATAAATTTTCTATTATATAAATATTTATTATAAATATAAAATATATTTTATATATTTTAAAATATCTACTTATTCAAAATTTAAATATTATTTATATATTTAAACATGATATTTATTTATATACAAGATTTATTTTAAGTTTTAGTTATATATGATAAACATTTAACTTGTATGTTACACATATTAAATTACTAATATAGTTAATTCATAAAAAAATTACCGTAAAATATAAGCACAAGTGTGTGTTTCTCTCTCTATATATATACACACATACATTGTACTAATATATGAAGGAGATATCTCTTTCAAAATAAACTCCTTTTAATTTTCATTTTTACACACTATACTAATATAGGAAGGGAATATCCCTTTCAAAATAAACTTCTTTTGAATTCTGATTTCCATTTTTACATAGACCTTTTTATCCTTTATTCATTTTCTATAACTATAAGAATACCTTTTTCTATGAGTAACTTATTAATTTTTTTTCTATTCTAAAACTATTAAAGGACTTAAATTTTTTTTTTTAAGACATTGCAGGGATGAACTACCCTTTTTCTACTAATACACACACACATACACACACATATATATATATATATGTATATATATATGTATTACAAACAACTTCTAAAACGAAGTATATTTATATCTTTTTTTGTGTTCTCATTTATTGCCTTTTCTCCTTCTCATCCTGCTTTCATTGTAAAGAACCATGAAACACTCACTTTCATCGAGTATTAATTATATTTGCAGATCCCTTCCCCCTTCTCTCCTCATATTTTGTATAGTACCCTTTTGTTGAGTTTACTAGAATGAAAATACCCAAATTCTACTGTTAGAATATCAATGACTGCAACAAATTCAAACAAATGCATTACGAATTTGTATCATCTATTTGCTAAACATGACTAATTTGTTGACTAAATATCATTAGTGCAAATAGTTTAATATTTTTATTCTTTTATATAAAAATTATTTTGATTCTTAATTTAGCTACAAAGTTGTGATAAAATATCATTTTTTTATAAATATTTACCTAATGAGAAGAAATTATACCTTTCATATAGTTTTCAACATTCATAAAGGATATATATTTCATTATTTTAAAAACTTATTCTCTGAATTACAAAAAAAAATTTAAAAAGTTAATTAATTATTTCAAATTTATCTAATACTCTTTCACATCATCCGATGAAAAATAGAATTAAAAATAAAAATTATTTACTTTTTCTTTATATGAAGGTATAATTTCATTATATTAGACCGGTTATATGAGTAAAGACGTAAAAAAACATCTCCTTTCATAATTTTATTTATGACACAGAGAATGAATATCGATAAAAAATACAAGTATCAAACTAATTAAATTAACGACTTTTGATTAAGAGTTTAATCTCTTACTTGATCATGGAATTATAATTAAAAACACTACTTATTATAGAGATCAATAAAAATTAAAAATCAATAATAGGAAAAAGGCTAAAATATATATTTATAAGTTTTTTTATTTGTTTTTATGATTCAATTTAATCCACTATTTTTAAAAGACTTAATTTGATTCTCTAATTTTTTAAAAATGTTTAATATTTTTTATCATATAACTCCTTTATTTTTTTTTTTATTTCAAGTACTTAATTTGTTATAAAAAAGTTCAAATTTATTCAACCAAAAAAATTGATAAATTTTTGTTTTAATTTAATTCCCTTATTATAAGAATGTTTAATCTGGTTATATTACTTTTAAATGATTTAATTTAATTCTTTACTTTATAAAAAATATTTAATATTATCTTTTGATCAATTTTACTAAAGTCATCTATTTGAAAAGAAAGATAATATTAAATATTTTTTTTGTTAAAATTAAGAGATGAAATCAAATTATTTAAAAATAATGAAATAAAATTCAATCTTAAAAATAAATAAATAAAAAAAATAATTTTGAAAAAAAAACTTTTGACAGATAGACTTTTAAGAATTAATAAAGTACATTTAAATTTAATAAAAAAGTACATTTAAATTAAATTAAAAAAATTACCTCTAGAACAAATCGACAAAACAAAAGACTTCACTTTCCTTTTTATATGTTGGTGTTAAAAGACGTTACTTACTTTTTGCAGTTTCTTTTTTGGCCAAAAAAAAAAGTCTGACATTACTTTCCACCTAAGAGTCATCGCGCGAGTGCTTCTCCGCTTCCCCAAAACCCTAAACCCTCCAAGCCCTCACCAACGCAACTTCTTCAACTCTTCCTTTCACTCTTTTCAATGCAAAATTCCTGAGGAGTGTGAATGATCTGATTCTAGCGAGATGGTGAACCTGGCCTTGTTACTGCTGAGTTGTGCGGTGGCGGTGGCGGTGGCGGTGACGGTGGCGGCGCCGTCTCACGCTGCTTCTGGCCCTCACATTGCCGACGTTAACTTACTCTTGCCGCCGAAAATGACGTTCCCTGTCGATTACAGGCTTCAAGGAAGTGACGGCTGCTTCCAATGGTCCTCTTCCGTTTTCCATCACGTTTGCTTCCTCCGAATTTTTGTTTGAAATTTTGAATTATGGTGGAAAAAAAAAACTAGGTCATGTCATTTCAGTTCAGTTGTAGACATGATGATAGTAACTTAAGAGAAAACTTACATGCAGTTTCTTAGGTGCTTCTGGTGCTGTTTTTAATTGGAATTGAAATTTTACCACTAGAACCAACGTGTGGTGACCTTTAATATAAACATTTATTACGTTGATTATCTAGATGAAACTTCAATTCTGATAGGAGAACGATGCTAAAAGCACCTACGTTCTTTTTTTCTGTATAAAATAATATTAGTTGTTGATATGATAATAGTAATTGGAAAAAACATGCATGCAGTTTCTTAGGTGCTTCTAGTGCTGCATGCTGGTTTTGAATCAGGGTTGAAATTTTACCACGGGAATGAACCTGTGGTGACCTTTAATTTAAACGCTTGTTACATGGATTATCCGAATGAATTTCTAATTCTAATCGGAGAACAATACTAAAGCACCAACAAATTTTGTCCTAATCATGTTCTTCTTTTTTGTATAAAATAATATTAATTAAAAGGAAGGTACTGGGAGGTTTAGGCTGTGTTTGATTATGTTTTTGTATTTTAGTTTTAAAAATTATTTTATAAAACAACTTTTGGAAAATGATTTTTAGAAAAAGAAATGAAGAAAGAAGTTGTGAAAGTGCTAGGAGGAAAAGAACGAATCACAAAATTTTGAGAATAGAAAATAAAAAAACAATATAGAGATGTTATGGTTTTAAAAACTAAAATAACATATGTTTAGTTTTCAAGACACGAAACAAACAGACCTTTTAGTTGTTGTTCTCAACAAGTGGTTCCCTGATTTCTTCAAGTGGTATCATTGATTCGTTTTGGTTGTAATCCTTTGTTCTTGTGTTGATTCTGATATTTTTTCATGGCACATTGATAGGTCATGGGATCATCATGATATTCTGTCTGTTGTGCCTGAGTATAATTCAAGCAGCAAGTGCTCGACTAGTGCAAGGCTGCAGTCCATTGCCCCTTATAGTGGTCGGAAGGAAACTGCTGTTTATGCTGCGGATTTACAAACTGGGATTGTGATTCGTTGCAAAGTCTTCATTGACAACATATCAAGAATACAAATATTTCATAATTCAATTAAGCTTGATTTAGAGGGGCTTTCCACGCTGCGTGTCCGTGCCTTTGATAGTGAAGGTATTTGTGGAGTCTTACAGCTTTTGTACTTGGGAATTTTATACTTTAGATCATGAAAGTCCAACACCATTGCATATCTTTTCAACATGGTTGATTTTACAATTTTGCTGTATTCCATGTTTTGCCTTTACAGAGTTATTCTCTTGCGAATATGCTTTCTTTGCCATCTTTTGTCTTGAAAATGTAGACATGACCTTTAGTTAACAAAGAAGGCATACTACTGGAGGATTGGCATGAGAAGTGCTGTCAGTTTTACTTTGATTCTGTTTGGATAAACTTCCCTATAGACACTTCTAGAAAAAGAAAAATGGAATTAGCTTCTTGATAAGCTAAACTTAGCTTATGCATAAGTTGAGAAACATATTCTCGAGAAGCTAATATGATAGAGCTTCTACAAGTTAATTTTTGCATAAGCTAATTTTAGCTTTTGAAAAAATTTATTTCATTTTTACTTCTTATTTTCTTCTCATGTAAGTGCTTATGGCATAGTTCATGCAAATAGGCCATTTGCTCTTTTTTGGCTTTTGAGTATAGGCATTCAACTATCTAGCATTTATTTATTTGTCAATTATAATTATTTTCAGCTCAAGCTTTTCTACTATTTTTTTTGTTACCCTTTCCCTCCTTAATTGAGTTGTGATCAGATGGGAAATATTTATCGAACTTCCCTTTTGTGATGCAGAAAATGTATTTTCCTCATTAGTTGGCTTACAGTTTATGTGGAACCTTATGCCTGAAGCCAATGGATTACCTCATCACCTTGTTAATGTTCCACTAAAGGATTCTCCCCTTAGTGATTGTGGAGGACTATGTGGTGACTTAGATATACAAATAAAACTTGAAGACAGTGTAAGGCTGCTACTGGCCGGTTTAAATGGGTTAATAAGCCACTGTTTGTCACTAATAATGCATATTTAATATTATATCCTTCCTTTTTTCTGGTCTTGTTTTGCAGGGTGTATTTTCAGATCTGTTTGTAGTAAAAGGAGTTGAGATTGGTCATGAGATTGTGTCAGTGAATTTGCTTGAGCCACAGTTAAAGACTTTGGCTGATGAGATCGTTCTTACTGTTGCTGAAGCTATGTCACTTGATCCTCCCTCACCAGTTTTTGTCCTCGTTGGTGCAGTCATTCCCTACACCCTTAAAGTCATCCGGGGAAATGTTCCTCAAGGTTTTCTTTAGTTGTTTACTTTTCATTCAAGTCTTTGTGCAGGTTGTTTAAAGATGTAAATCCTTTATGTGATTATGCTGTCAATTTATAGTTGTAGCTTTAGCTGCTAGGAATACATGTGGCCATTTATAGATGGCGACTCTTCATTTTTCTGGTTTTTGGGAAAATTTTCGTCCTTCTTGTCTTTATTCTTTTAATGAATTCTTCAAGTTTGCTCAAACACCTTTTGGAAAGCTAAATCTCTAAGGTGAATTTGTTTTTTTTTGGGGCTGTGTTTCACAACCTGTTTAGTACCATTGACTGGTTGCAGTTCAGCACAGGTGTGTTGGTCTTATACGGTCCATTTCTCTGACATGTGTTCTGGGCCACAAGTTTTAAATCAAAGAATAATCTGTTCCTTCATTTGTAGGTATCTTGGAATCTACAAATTAGATTATTTGGGCTTTATGTAGAATTGTGGATCTCTCTGAACCTTTTTTTTTATCAATACTCTCTAAGTCGGTAGTTGTTTTTCCTATTGGGTTTAGAGGTTTTCACAGTAGAAAGGACTAAAAAAGGAGAGTACAATGCTTTGTTTTGTTGTTGTCTTGTCTGGACAATATATGATTTTTCTGGGTCATAATTTTTGAATCAGTTAGATATTTCTTCATTCTCATCTTTAGGGAAGCTTTATTCTCATCTTATCTCATCATTCTTGATTCTGGTTTGCAAAAATAGTAAATTGTTTCTTCTTTTATGTTTTGTTTTTATTTCTGTTGTGATTCCCTGTTTTAGGTTTCCTTATCCTCTTACATTATATTCCTTTTCACTCTGTAGTCTGTACGAGTTCTTTTTCTTTATAGAACAAAATACTGTAATACCATTCATTTTCTGATTACATGAAAAAAAATGAGTATATTTTATTTTATGGGATCTATATGTTGGTTTTTCTTTTTTATTCAGTATTCACTTTGGGAGATCAATCAAGTTTCTCAATCTCACCTGACAATCTCTGCAAATGCTGAGAGAACAGAAGAATCAGGATGAATTTCCAGTCAACTACTCTTACACTATAGATTTCTTTTATGCTTTGGTTCTATTTATCAAATACTGTCAGTCTGCCACAATTTGGTCTCTATGGAGGGCATTAGACATGTTCTAATTGAATTCTTCTTTTTCTACCTGCTTTTGAGTTTTTATTTTTTATTTTTATTTTTTTGCTCTAAAAGGGAATAAGGGGCTTAGGAAATTTGCTTTTTGGCTGTTGATTGATGCATTTGAATGGAACAAATGAACAATGAGCAACAGACTTTTGTCTGTTATGCAGAGGGACTGGTTTGCTTGCTTGTCCCTATTATCTTCTTTTGCCAAATTTGTCATTTCGTTTTGTAGAATTTCTGATTCCCATTTGTGCATTTTTGTTTTCTTCTTTAATGAAAAATAAATAAATTAATGTCACAAACTTGCAGCTAATGATTGAGGGTAGTACCATAGTGGAAATCAATAAAAGTATAATTCCTCGTCTTTTATGTGGGTACTGATCAATGGTTAAAGCTGGTAATACTTCAAAAGTTTATAATTGGATATTGTTTACTCCTGTTTTAAAGTTTAGACGACTGTTTTGTGGTTCAATGACTTTTATATATTTGTTTCTGTTCTGATGTAGGCCAGCATATTATCAAGAGTCTTACCAATATTTTTCTTTGGCATTTGTAGTGGTCACCTTACCCTCACCACATCACCAATGGTCTGTCTCAAATGTGTCGGTTGCTCAGGTTGACTCAAAAACGGGGTTAGCATATGCATGGAACTTGGGGATGACTGCTGTTATCGTTGAAGATACTAGGATTGCTGGCCATGTACAAGTGTCTTCACTAAATGTGGTCCTACCAAGTTCTTTATATTTATATATATCACCCTTATCTAGTTCTGGTGATCCAGTGGAAGGAATCAAATCTATTCCTCTAATGACCCGTTGGTATGTTGTATCTGGCCATCAATATCTTATCCAGATAAAGGTTTTTGCACATGATCATGATGCACAAGAGATTTATATTACAGAGGTAATTTGCGTTATTATTCTATTATCGTTTCCTTATTAACATCAATGGTAAAACATGTTTATATTGAGTTGACATTTTCTTCTATGATCTGCATCTATTCTATATGTAGTTTATATGTTCAGATTTCGAGGACAAATTTTCTTAATGTTTCTGAGTACTTATCTACATGATAATATTACTATTTTACCCCCCTTTTTAGAAAATAAAAAAATAAAAAAAATCTTGTACTAAAAAGGGATACTATAAATAGTTTATCAATCGGCATAGCTTTTCCTTGGATTGTATTATCTCTGATTAATGATCCGCAGTGGTGGGATCTTTGGGCAATTCACCAACTGATTATCTGTATGGCAGTTGACAAATACAGATGAGGGTAACTATTGTGCATTATGCATGATATTAGTATCTTTTCCTGTCAGCTCAGGTTTCTGGTAAATGGTAATCCACGACACAGGTGCCAGACAAAATGCTTCATCTCCAATGATGTATGAAAATCCCTGGAAGGGACTTCTTTTGATTTGGAGTATGTCCACTAATTGGAATTTTACCAACTTTAATCAACTCTCTTTTGAAGAAGCTCTTTGAACATTAAAAGCTTTTATTCTTCTCTCTAGCCAATTGTGTCTTATCAAACAAGAGAAACAAGCAAATATTTGACTTACTATTTGCCAAATAACGGACTTGATAGTGCATCCATGATAGTTCAAACTGTAGACAAAAATGAACACAAGAAACCAGTAGAAATGTTTGACATACTATTTGCCGAATAACAGACTTGATGGTCCTTGTATCAACATCCTAGGATAATAACACAACTAAAGGAAGAAGAAAAATTCTATTCTATTTGCTGCTTTATTAATTAATCCCCGCATGTACTGATGTGATTTGCCTGCCCTGAACTCGTCTGATCCTTCTGAAACACTCAAGTATTCAGCCATAGCCATGCAGGCTAGTCATCCCAAATTCTTGAACGAGATTTGTAACTCACTTTCTACCACTTGGTTACTACCTGATTCAATGAGCACTTGCCCCAGTCCAAGGTTAGGGTATACCACAAGCAAGGGCTTAAAATGGTACTTAGAAGACCTACCTATGAAGGACCACTGGCAGTAGTTGAACCTAAGACCTTTTAGTCCACTATTGTACGATCCTACTATTTGAGTCACCCTAAACCTCATTGTCTGAGACAGTGAGACTGTCTCTGTTTGGAAAGAAGTTTGGTTTAATGTAACCCACGTTCAAATCAAAGTAAGTGCCTCCTTGCTTTAGCATTCCATGCATCAGAAAGTGCAAACTCCTATTTCAAAGCTCTAAAACGGTAAACCAAACATGCTGTATATTTTAAACAGGAAACTGTTGTTAAGAAAAAGTTATCCTATTCTTTCACTGTTACCCATGTCTGTATTTTCCAATTCTTACACCGAATAATCTCCCTATCAAGAGCATGATTTTAGTTGGCAACTAAAATCTTCCATAATCTAATGATTAGGACACATGTATGAAATATTGATGTGTCAATATATCCGACACAAATATTATTTATACTTCACTAATATGTATCCATAAAGTACACAAGCCTTAAAAAAAAATGTAAAAATCTAATAGTTACAGATGAAACATAGAAGTATGTGTAATCAATATAAATCTGGTGCTTTGTACTATTATGTAACATCAAGCTACAATGCAAAAGTGCTCCTTTGTATATAAATATACAATATTACATATATAAAAAGTTATATCACAATAAATATTTAAAATGTTTATCTCAATATTATAGTACCTAAAATATTATAAATAATTATCTCTTAATAATAACAGAGTAATATTATAATAAATATTATGCTAATACTGTGATCAAGATTTAAAATAACTATATCTTAACATTATGAAATTTAAATATTAAACATACCTATCTCTTAATAATTATATGTACCCATCTCTCAATAATAATAAAATAATACTTATTTTGCATAAATAAATATATGTAATATTTAAAATACTTATACTAATACTATAATAAATATTTAAAATAATAATCACTAAATATTATAATAAAAATTTAAAATATCATAAATATATTTCTAACAATAATAAAAATATTTAAAATATGCACAACTAATTGTCATAGCAATATTTTTATAATAATAATATTTTCTAAAGTATAATTATAGAATAAAAATACAATAAAAAATGCACATAAAATAGTTTTAAACATCAGAATATTTAGATTAGAAAATACTTATCTCTAAACAATAGTAAACTAATAATTTAATAAATATTTAAAATATCAAATAATTCTATAAAATGTTGATTAATATTTTATAATATAAAAGTTATGTTTATATACATTTATATTAATATTATAATCTTCAAAAATATAAAGTAAATAAAAATACTAATAATGAATATAAAAGATACAAAAGGTGACTAGACAGATTTTTTGACAATTATTAGTTATTTACAAAACCGGTGGATACTCTGTCCTAATAAAATTATTACAAAAATGATAAAAGAAAGGAATGAGATTAATACTATTTTTATTTTATTTGTAGACTATAAGAAGTGATTTATGATGACAATGATTTATAATCTGTATACTGTAGTTAGTAATGTCCCATAAGAATGTTTTTAATTTGGTTTTGCAAAAATTGCAATTATATATTTATTATGTTTATGAATTTGTATACATATTTAGATATGTATCTTACATGTATTGTATTTTATATATTTTAGAATAATCATATTGCTGGATCAGATACATGTATTATATTTGTGCATCATAGGGGGCACTTCTATTGTGATTGGGGCATTTTTTTTTTGTTTTTTGATATTTTGGACTGGCATTGCTGGTCCTATTTCTTATTTTTTATTTTAAATTATGTGTCTGTATTGGATCTTTCATTTATAATCAATCTCCCTCTCTTCTATGAATTGGTTGTTTTTCTTTCATTAGTATTCAACATTCTTCTTTGCATTGCAGAATGACGATGTTATGGTTTATGATAATGCCTCTGATCACTTGAGAACATTTGGGGTTTCAAATGATATTGCTGTAAAACATGGCTGGCGGAATTCTAAAATCTTGAAGGCTTATTCACCAGGACTTGGAAAATTGACAGCTTCTCTGAGCTATCCTAGTGGGGCTGATGACAAGAAGGAGGTGATCATTCTTCCATTGAAACCTTAGAAGTATATTTTTCTGTGCTTCCCTTCTCAACTATCTGCAGCCTCTTTTAGTTAATGCATCATGTGTTTCTCTGTGGTTGTTACGCATTTCTTCTCCAGTGTTGGACAGAGGCTATTTGATGCCTTGTACTCTTAGGAATGTTGAAGTACTCTTACATATTTGTTCAAATCTTGCAGATTATCAAAGCTATGCAAGAAGTCATGGTTTGTGATAAAGTGAAGTTCACCTTAGGCAATGAAAGTGAAATCATCTTACTGCCCTGGTCTCCAGGTGTTTATCAGGAGGCGGAGTTAAAGGCTGTAGGAGGTTGGATGCTTTTTTCATCTCTCCAATCTGAAGTAAATATCTTATTCTGATATTTTCTTTTATACTTTTTAATCCCACTTTGTGCTGTAGGTTGTGCGAAATCAGTGAGTGACTACAAATGGCTGTCTTCAGACACATCTACTGTATCTGTATCAGATTTTGGTATTGTCCAGGCAAAAAAACCTGGTAAAGCTACTATCAAAGTGTTATCTGTATATGATTCTCTAAATTATGATGAGGTAATGTTGTTAACGTAAATTTATACTTTTATTTATTCATGCCAAATATCTGGAGTTGAAAAAGAGAATATTATTAATTTGTATCATACTAATTACATTCTTCTCTTACCCTATTATAGAGATACATTTGTTCCTAAAATAGGTAAATATGAAAATAAAAGATTATATAAAATCTCCTAAAATAATATCAAATCTCCTTAAGATATTTTTATTTACAACACTCTCCCTTAAGTTGGTAAATGAATATCAATCATTTCCAACTTGCTTATCAACTCTTGAAATCTGCTAGTAGGCAGTCCCTTAGTGAGTACATCTGCCACTTGAAGTCCTATAGGGACATGTGCTGTAACAATAAGACCACTGTCCAACTTCTCTTTGATGAAATGTCTGTCTATCTCAATATGCTTGGTCTTGTCATGTTGAACTGGATTATGAGCAATGCTGATGGCTGACTTCTTGTCACAAAACAGCTTCATAGGTAGTTCAATTTGAAATCTAAGGTCATCAAGAATAATCTTCATCTATAGCCATTCACATATGCCCCGTAGCAAGGCTTGAAATTCAGCTTTTGCACTAGACTGAGCAACTACATTTTGTTTCTTACTCCTCCAAGTCACCAAATTTCCCCCCAACAACATGCAATATCCATAAGTAGATCTTTTATCTATGACTGACCCTGTGTAGTTTGTGTTAGTATATATTTCCATAAACATGGTGTCTCCTCTTTTGAATAGTAATCCCTTCTCTGGACTTGACTTTAAGTACGGAAGGATCTTGTCAATTGCCTGCATATGCCTTTCACGGGATTCATGCATCAACCGACTAACTACGCTCATAGCATAAGCAATGTCTGGTCTAGTGTGATAGGTGAATTAGTTTCCCTACCAATTTTTGATATTGGTATTTTTTCATTGGTGGACTTTCTTTACTTCCAATTTTGTGATTTTGTTCAATTGAAACTCCTAAGGTCCTGCATCCCAACTTTCTTGTTTCTTTAAAAAGATCAAGGACATATTTTCTTTGAGAGATAAATATGCCCTTCTTGGAATAAGCAACTTCAATTCCCAAGAAATACTTTAATCTTCCCAAGTCTTTCATCTCAAACTATGTTGCCAATTTTTTCTTCAGGGTCAATTTTTTTTCTTCATCATCAGCCGCAAGGATTATGTCATCTACATAGACTAAAAGTATTGTAAGTTTACCATTAGGGAAATGTTTTATAAACAAAGTATGATCCCCTTGACTCTATTTGTATCCCAAAGAAATCATTGTTCGGGTAAATCTCCCAAACCATGCTTGTGGATATTGCTTTAGTCCATACAAGGCCTTTTTTAATCTACTTACTTTATTTTCTTTGGTTGAAGCTTCAAATCCTGTGGGAATTTCCATGTAAACTTCTAAATTTCCAAGTCCCAACCAAAATGAGTTGCAAGGGGAAGTATAACTCGTACTGTATTTATCTTTGCCACTGACGCAAATGTCTCCTCATAGTTTATCCCATAATTTTTTGTGTATCCCTTTGCTACCAATCTTGCTTTGTATCTTTCTACTATCCCATCAACTCTGTGCTTTTCTTTGAATATCCATCTGCATCCTATAACTTTCTTGTCTTTAGGTCTGTCTACAATCTCCCATGTTGAGTTTTTTTCCAATGGCTTCATTTCTTCTTTCATGGCTAGAATCCAATGTTCTTCTCTCATAGCCTCTTAGACTGAAGTTGGGATATCTACTGAATTAATAGCAGCTATAAAACTTTGATGTTGAGCAGACAAGTGGTTATTATAGACATACTATGAAATAGGATAATTATAGACATACTATGAAATAGGATATTTAACACAAGATCTTTTTCCTTTCCTCAAAGCAATAGGGATATGGGTATCATCATTAATACTTACTTCCTCCAAATTACCTTCAGGATCACTTACTTCTGAGTCAAACGATTCCTCTTGCTATGGAGCTAAGGCAGGTTTTTTCTTCCTTTGATATTTTATTCCAAAAAACTTATCTTCCTCTTCTTCATTTTGGACATCTTGTAGAGATGAAAATGATGATAATTCTAAGAAAGACTCGTCCTCGGGTTCTAAGTTTTTCTTCCCTTGAAGCTAAGGACAAACAAAGGACTCTTTTTCATTGAAGGTAACATCCATGGAGACAAATAATTTATGACTACGAGGATGATAACATTTGTATCTCTACTTGAGATTTGAATTTGTGGCAAAAATCACTGAGTTTCACCTTAGTTGGTATTATATATATATATATA